ATATATTTTTATGTGATCCCTGGCTGTAATAAGGTAACCATTTCTTCCCTGCAAGAAAATTTGCAACAAAAGAGAGTAGACGGCTATGTTTATATAGAGATTTTTAAAATATATTTTATATATATTTATGCATGTATATAGAGAGGAACCTTTTTTAAAATATGTAAATGTGTTTAATATGTAAAACCATCTGTAGTGCATCAACTTTAGTTATCATCTGCATTTCTTTAAGGAAAACAAGAAAGAAACAGTTTTTACTTCTCCTATGATGACTCTCTAGGGAAATCAGTTTTTAAATAATTGAGAGCTAAAGCCATTGCTGTCTTACGATGTTTTCATATTCCTATGCTGTGATGGCACTTTACCTGTTTAGGCCTTGCCTTTTCCAATAAGGTGATTCTATGTAGACTAAGAGTGTTGCACCATCTCCCAACAGGCTGCTTCTGCTTCTGTCTGCCATCGAAAAATAAATTGTGGCATGAAAACCCCCGGGGGTTGGTTTGCCTTTGAGGGCAGAAAATTGTTCCCTACAGATTCCTTCAGAAACTATATTTAAAGGAGGGGAGAGTTATTAAATAAACAAACACTGTTTGTTAGTTTTGTTATTTGTGTTACAAAAGGGGTGAGACAGAGAAGGGAAACTCCTCTGTACAACTCTTATGTTGACTTAGCTTAGAAAGCAATGGTAAAAGTACCATTATGAGGGCCTGTAGTCATATTGCATTTACACAAGAGCATACCCTGATTGCAATTAGGAGGATGATGTTTCTATGTGCTGGAGAACTCAGTCAAGATATGTCACCAGCTGTGCAAGCTGCTAAGGGCTGAGACCTAACTTCTTGTCTTTCCTTCTCGTGTGTCCATCGTGCTAAGAGATACCACAAGCCAGATTTCTTGTCATCTTGACTTGGCATGTGTTTACTGAAGCTGTGGACATCCTTCTTCAGATCCACCCGCGTGGGTGTACACTTTGGCTGTACACTGCCGTTTCCTTCTGGACATCACCTTTCCTCAGGTCTGCTGCCTAGGTACTTGCCTGAGTAATTTTAGGGCATTCATGCCGAACTTTGTCAGTGAGACCTCACCCAACCAGGTAGCTAGTAGTTTGGAGATTGTCAAGTTTGGCGGGAAGATAACGATGAGCAGTTTGGTGACAGTGAGAAAAAGTATCTTCATCAGGGCTCAGCAGGATTTGTTAAGAGCTCACAGGTTATTCACCACACAGTTACAATTCTGTAAAGTGCATGGGAAAAAGAGATGCCTGGCCACCTCTGTACTGCAGAGCCAACACAACTAAGGAGGAGAAAATGTGGTGGTTATTAAAGTGGACAGACATTTTGAATATACACAGAGCTGTCAAGGAAAGATGCCATCATACTTTTCAGAGCAGAACGATGCAGTCTAAAATGACCGAGGCAAATTAGAAAAATTTTAAAAGCCGGTCACCTTATTTTCAGCCCTGCAGAAATAGGAGCAGTCACTTCTCCCTCAACTCTGTACTTCAAAGTAAAATCTTTAGATGGGTAAGAACCACAAGACATGCCACACACCTTCAAAACCTGAAGAAGATCATCTAGCAGTATTTTGCAAGCAGTGGCAATGAGTCTACAGGATCTGCTCGACTGGCTGTGTCAGATAGAAACGCAGCCCCTAGGGTTCAGGTTACCTCCCAGTTCACCACTCTCAGGCACTGGCCAGCCATAGACCATTTGAAAGGACAGACTTCAGAGCTGGCAATTTAACAGGATTTGTTGAATTTTTAGGGTGATAGCATGTTCTTCTGATGTCTTCAGGACGTTGTTTTTGGTGGGGTTTTTTTCAATATTTAATTCTACTTATTTAATTTTACTATTTAATTCTTACTACACCTCCCCATAACACACCTCTGAGACTCCGTTACCTGGGGAAAACCTCTCCTACTGACTTTTTTCCTGATAGCTGTGAAAGATTTCATGAAGTAGTTTCTGCCCATGATCACTGCTGCCAGCCACGACCAAGGGAAAATACTGTTTCCAAGTGAACACACAACCACCTAATAATCAGAGAATGGTTCAGTTACAGGATGGACCAGTGGTTACTGTTTGGTAATTTCATTTTCTCCATTTGTTGTCTCACTTATATCTTCTGATAAATCCCATTCTGAAACCCTAAGTCTTGTCCTGGATTCAGGTGGAAGGCAAGACTAAGTTCTTCAAGTTCACAAGAAAAAGCTGACCATATTGAATTGTACCAAATCTTTGAACAAGGACAAATTATCAGCTTTTGAGGGTTGGACTTGTCAGACTTCTTTTTACAGTACCTAATTTTGCAGGCTGAATTTAAACATCAGGCAATTCAGTCAGATCTGAAAAGCAGCCATTATATTTCTAATGATTCTCTTCCCTTGATGACAAAGTGGTTCGTTACTGGGCATTCTGTCCTGCAGAATGTAATTGCAATGTGTTACCTTACAGAGATAAATAAAATTCTGGGTAATGAGAGTTGCTGAGCAAATGGTAGAGCCTTTTTCCACAAAAGCTTCCTGTGACTAATGAAAATACCCTGAGACTGACCTCTGCGCTGGCTTCCAGCCACCTACCAGAAGAGTAAATTACATGTGGTATACAAGCTGCAAACATGCATGATGAAAAAAGAACACAACAGGTAGCCACTTACTTAAGTCTTTAATCTGGGAGAATGATCCACAGCGATGCCTGCTGCTTAAGTGCTTTCTTTAGACTTAGCGTTGGCGAGGACACTGCAAGAACGCCGGTTGGATTCAGAGGGTTAATGAGTGTCAGTGTGTCGATACCGGTGCAGTCTTTCTGCTGAGGCAGTGAATGTTGATAGATGTGAATTTTTCAGCGGCTATAAAGGGAAGGTCTGCTTGTTTTGTCCAAAGTGCATGGGAAAGGCTTGACTGTCGTGTTAGAAATTCAAGGCTAATGGTTTAAAAAAATCCTTACGTTTCAAAGTTCAGCTTAAAATGTCATGGCATAGCTGCTGGAAGGGAGGCACCAGCGCTGGCAAGCTGCGGCAGCCCAGCAAAGGCAGACAGCACAGCCCTGGCGGCTGTGCGCTCGCCGAAATGCCTGCGCGCCCGCGGTTTGCTAAGGAAGCAGCTCAACACACACAGCTATGATTTTATTGCGTTGGAGTCAAGAGGTACAGCAGTAGATAACATCACCTCTCAGCACAGAGATGGCAAACAACAGCTCGTACCTTTCTCCTACACAGCCAGCTGCCCCGGCTGAGTATGATTGACTGAGAAGTCACGTACTCAGCCTCATCTATCTCCCCAGTTGGTGGAGAAAAAAAAAATGCAATTCAGGTTTCAGCATTTTTGTAATCCCTCTGAGCCTCCCATTAAATTTGCTCGACTGTGTGGGAAAGGATTAAAGATTCTTTGGGCTCCAAAACACAGTATACAAAAAATTAAGTACTACAGCATGGTTTGTAGTAAGGCAGCAACTAAAGTGTATAGCCTGCCACACAACCCAGAGCAGTGAGTTCTCTTTGAGAAGTCACACTTGTTGACAGCTTAAAATTTCTGTTGGTAACAGTTGTGTTACCACAGCCACAGCTGTGTATGGCCTTTGTTTTAAATATTCTGTATGCAACATACTTCGTAGGTAAATTCAAAAATAATCAGAGTTGTTCATGTGCTGTTACTGACTTAGTTCAGAGTTCCAAAAGAGGGGAATATTTGCTGGCAAGGAGAACTTATGTTCCTTTCAGAATGGCTCATAAATCCTCCTTTGAAATAAAGATTTCAAGATTAAAATCAACGTGTTACAAGTTTCAGACAAGGCTGTTTATCAAGATGAAATAGTTCATTTCCTAAAAGGCAATAATATTTACATTTTATGTGAGTGTGTGCATAGATGGGAAATTTTCATTTCAGAGGTGCCAGGAGTTTTTCCCCTCAAAAATGGTAAATGAAAAATGACAAAAAGTTTCTTGCCCTAATTTTTTACTGCTTTGAGAGTGTGACTTGCTGTCGGGCTTAGTTTGTGCAGTATTAAATTCTACTAAATATATTGCACTTAGTGTAATTAAGCATCTAGCCTTTTTTGTCCTAATTCCATACTTAACCATATTAACTTTTTTGGTGTGTGTGTGAAAAGGACACAGAGCTACTGTGTATCCAGGCCTTGGGGAGAAAGTAGGGGTGAGAAAGGGCATAATAGATATTACAAATTAGACTCCAAAATTCATACTTTTAAAATAAATGTTGTTTTCTCCTGCTTACATTAGCCTACTTGCATGAAACTTCTCCCTTCCACATCTCAACTGTTAAGCGGAGAGCTGTGACTATCACCAGCTGTGCGTCTGACTACAATTTACCAGTATTACAGTGCAGACTAGGAAGTACTAAAGAGCAAGAGGAATCAAAAATCAATGTTGCCTTTTTGTGATTTTTCATTTCCTCATTGCACTAGAAAGCACAAATGTATGAGGTGTGAATACCATATTGTGAACAAGAGGTCAGTTCCAGTGTGTGTAGAACATTACTGCCGAACTAAGTGTTTTCACCATTTGTAAGGCAAATTAAATTAGTGTTCCAAAGAAACTGGAAAACAATACCATGCCATGCAATTTATATCTAGGCTCTCCACCCAAAAAGCATAGTAAGAAATATCTGCTGACTATATCCATTCCTCTATTTTTCTTTATATTCATCTTTGCATTTTTCTAAGCATACAGACTATTTGCTTTTCCTCTGTAGTAACTTCTAATGTTAACTTTTAATATGAGCTTTGAACGGTATTCCTCAATGTCATTATTTCAAGATTTTATATATCCAGATATTTTATGTATCGGTCATTTTTCTTAAGGTCTAGGTTGATAACAGTATTCTTTACATTAAAAATGCTTGTAGAAAGAAAAATGTCATTATGAGAAAGCTTAATATATGGGCTACTCAGTTCCTGGTTTATTTTTAATCTTTCTTGTGAAGCTGAAATTATAACTTGTTTACCTCCCAGTTTCAGCTTTCTGATATTTTGGGTTGATTTCAGGTTACTATTGGCCAACTGTATTCCACGCAGAAATTGGTTATTGAGAGTCCAGGAAACACATAGCTACGAGAAGACTTTGATCCTGAAGCAACACTGGACCATCTTCAGCATCCTACAGTGCCACATACAGATGCATAAACTCACTGCACATGTCTGACCTTTTCTGTTCAGCAGAAGAAATGTCTGAGAGACTCAGTTTTTGGCAACCAAAGTACTATTTTCTAATGGTTCACATGTTCTAAAATATATTGCTGTGATTTGTAATAGCATGTAAGGTAGTCTTGAAATCTGTTTGCTTGTATGTACCATGAGATGAAATAGTTCCCGCCCCACTTTGGCAATAAACTTCATTGAACTACCTGTAACCAGATACATTATTCTGCTGCTGACCCTTCTTCTCACCGAGCACAAAAGATGTGTTAGATGTAAAACCCCTCACCCAGTTATTAAGACTAGTAACTAAAAGCCTGTTTCATTTAAAAATGTACAGCATCTGAATTAAATTACTAAATACGTAGTTTATTTTAAATGTTAAAACCAGGGATGAACAAGAGTTTTCGTCTTCTGGACCTTGATGCTTACAAATATCGCAAGCTGCATTGTGTGGTTTCTTTAAAGAGCATCCCTTGACATTTCAGGAGGTGACATAAAAATTTCACTAGTTCTTTCTTTAGTTTTCAAGAGTTAATAGCCAGTCTCATCCTCCTTTTAATAATTAACAAATCAAAATAGCAGAATGTAAGAAAGATTTGCATCACAGAGGCTTGGGAGCTTTAAAATACATTTTCAACACCAAGTCCTTTTCCAAATGTGTTGAGGTGCAGCTATTAGCAGAAAGAACCACATGACTCTGTGAAAAAGGGAAACCTTGCATAAAGCTCCTGAATGTTGCAGGAGGAAAAGAACTTAACTATGACAATAACTCAAGTGCTGTTAGGTCGTAACTTGGCAGCAAGCTTTGCCTAGCAAAGTGGAACGCTCGGTATAGCTCTTTATTGCTTACTATTAAATCTGTAGAATAATCAACACTTTTAAGACAAATGTTAAAAAAAAGGCAAACATTTTGATCAGGTTCTGTTCTCGAATTTTTTTTCTCTTAGAAATTGCAGAAAAATTAAGCAGTGTGAAGCTTTTTTAATGGCATACAGAAAAAAGCTTCCTTTTTTTTTTCCCCCAGGAGATTGTTTTGGTGTTTTTTTTTAATAAGAGAAACAGAAACTCAAACCTAGTTCCATGACACTGTGGCCTTTGAAAACCTGCCCTTATTTTTCTTGCTTCCCAAAATTGACCTTTGTTTAGAACTTCTATTGTTTTGTGTTGTTCATGCTGTGTGATAACGTTATCAAAGCAGAGGACAGACAAAGTTTGTTCTAATTTAGAACAAACTCTCATTCCTCACTAGCATTTGAAGTGTATTTTGTAGTTTTGTACAGTTAGATTGAAATGTGTAGTAATGCATTCTATTAACAACAGTGTACAGAACAAGTTACTGTGACTACCTGAGACTACAAATGTAGCCTCCATTCTCGCTTTCAAATAAAAGGCAAATACAGTAATAATTCTCCTCCTATTAGGTGTGTTACGTATTGCAATGTACATCGCTTTTAGTGGCCATTTTATTAAAATGGAATGTAATTATTCTAATAGGTAAAATACATTCGATTCTGTATTTTAAATCTCCACATTCACAACTGGATAATGAAGTGCACTTAAGTTAATGGTGAAAGTGTAGGGGAAGAAAGGTTTAATTACTATTTAATCTTCTAGTGACCTCCAAGAAATGTAATAACATCTTAGGCTTTTAGAGGACACAGGCTTGGAAGGCCTGCCAGTTTTGTACTCTTAGGAACTTGGTTCCTAAAACAGTACATGCAAAACCCTTGTTTAAAACAGCTTAATTACTGGAACAAGCACTGCATACCAATTCAAGATCTGCAAATGTATGCTAGGAAACAAAATAAACATCCTTGTAAATAGTGTAGCCCTAATGTATAAAGAGGGACAACTCCATCAGTAACATTTTTATTATTTAAATCTAAGTTTTCACCATGTCTTAAAAAAAAAAATGTTTGTTTTCAAATAGAGGCCCTGTAAAATACTTCTTCCAAAGTACCAATACCTTTCCGGTGAATTTTGCCGTTCAGTTTCCACCAAGAATACAGCTGTAGATGCTACAGATGGTATGCTGTCATATAGGCATGCAGTCATGGCAATGTGAAATTTCTTATTAATTCCCTCAAAAGTATGAAGGAGATTACTTCTCCATTAATGCCTAAAAATTCTGTTGTTATGTTTTGGTGGTAGAGAAACTTCTCCACTCCTAATTCATGCCTTGTGCTCCTACTTTCTGTCTCAAGGTTACCACTCAGATTATCTCGCCCTTAGTTATTTACACCTGCGAAGAAGCAGGAGTAACCTTCAGAATCACAGAATCATTAAGGTTGGAAAAGACCTTTAAGATCATCAAGTCCAACCATCAACCAAACACCACCAAGCCCACTAAACCATATCTTCTGAAGTGCCACGTCCACGCGTTTTTTTTAATGCCTCCAGTGATGGTGACTCCACCACCTCCCTGGGCAGCCTGTTCCAATATTTGACCACCCTCTCAGTAAAGAATTTTTTCCTAATATCCAGTCTAAACCTCCCCTGGCGCAACTTGAGGCCATTTCCTCTCGTCCTATCGCTAGTTACTTGGGAGAAGAGGCCAACACCCACCTCACCACAACCCCCTTTCAGGTGGTTGTAGAGAGTGGTAAGGTCTCCCCTCAGCCTCCTCTTCTCCCAGAGGACCCATCAAGAAAAAAAAAAAAACAGGTTCTGTAATTTCCGTCTCTTCCCCTGATCCATAGTGCAGAGGTTAAGACAGCTCACTTTCTCAGTCAAGGAAAAATTAGCTCTTACTGCAAATTAACCATCAGCTGACCATACAGTATTTATACATTACATATTAGAAGTAACATAAGAAAACTTCTGCTGCTAAGGCCCAAAAGCCTATGTAATACTATCTAACTTCTGTTAAGAACTGCAAAGCTAGCAAAGGTATTAACATTTACTACTCAAACCCCACACAATCACTGCATTTTAAATGTCCGTTCCCTCTCTGTTTTGGACAGAGCTATAGGTTTCCTTTCCTCACCAACACACATGTAAGCGCACCCTCCATTACATTTAGTTATGTGCATTCAGTTGTACGTGATTGGAAGATACCTAGAAATACTATTTTTTCCTTGCCTAATGTGCATTGTAAGTAAATTTTGTCGTAACATACCCAGTTCTGTATAAAAACATAGCTTACCAAATGCTTTATTACTGCAATCCTACAAACTATGGAAGGAAAATACTTCGAAATCACATCTAGCTTAGAAAGTCCAGCACAGAAATATTTGTAGGCTGGGATGACTTCAGGATTATGGTCATATCCACTTGCCCTGTTCTTACTCTTGGCTAGGCGTACGCTCATCGTCACTGATGCAGCCAGCGCACCGGAGAGCTGGCACTGTGGTCCAGCCTCAGAGTTGCTGTGCTCTTACAGCTGCACCTTCTGTGCTTCACCAGTTCCGTTTACGTTGCAATCCTCATTAAATCTCTCTCTTGGCACACTGTCAGGAGCTTTGCTGGATTTTGTCAAAGCAGTGTAAACAACAGGAATAGTTAAAACACAAAGGAATGATCCCATGACTTACGTAAAATGTCCACTATTATAAAAAGTATAACCTTTTTCCTTAGACTAGAAGGGAGCGCAATAAATAGCTTTACTAAAGCTGCAATGTCTTAGCAAAACCATCTTGCTTTTGTATTATATTAAAAATGTTTGTCTGTTCCTGATCTCAACATTTTAGCAAACTATTAACCTCAGCAGTATGCACCAAAATTTGCATGTTTACATATCCTGAAGTTTGTCATGACTTTTACGGTATAAACTTGGAAACGGCGCTCTGGAAGAAAAAAAGGAACAATTTGTTTAATATTAGTAACTGTTTAAAGGACAGGCATTTCTGTTGTGTGTTACAGCTTCTCAGGAGATTCTACTGCAATCGAAAGCTCAGTTTCAAAATGCCCAGGCAGATCAGAGGTACAGCTCTGTCCTGGAGGAAAGCAACCCAAGAGAGTAGCATGTGAACACTTTACATACAACATTGAAATAGGCCAAGAAGGATTTTAAGTTACTACTCACATTTCTAGAAAGGTATTTCTGTATAAAACTTCACCAAGTTACCAGGCATTAAAAGCATTACTTTCACCTTCCAACGTCAGCAGGTGGAATGATAATTTTGTGGAGAAGCACCAGCCCCTCCACTTAACTTCCTGTAATGCAACATAAATGCATCTCTCCAGATACCCAGCAAGTACCATACGTGCACATAAACAGAGCCATGAAAGAGCTGCGCACGGGCTGTTTTCCTGAGTTTTCCATAATGATCTACAGTGAAATCCAGGCATTATTTGAGTCAGGAGTATACTGATCGCTTTGTTCCACGGTTCTTAACACAGGCATAATTGTTTCATACTCTTAGGAATGTTTTGCTTGATGACCTTTATAAAAAAAAAGAAGGAAGGTGTGTAGCTCTTTTACTGAGAGTTTACATTCCTACTTTTTTCTTTTTTCAGTATTTTAGAATATAAGAATAGTGCGTGAGCCCTTAATGTGGAGGCAAGAAAAAAAGAGAGAGAAGCAAATAATTCTTCCAACGCTGTGTATTTTCTACAACTGTAAGAGGAGAAACTCTCAAACCTGTTTCACAAACACGCATCTTCAAAAGATTCTGCAGCTTGCACGGGAAATTAAATATCAATGTGTTGCAAGAGATGCTTCTTTCTAAACTACTTACCTTTTTTTTACTGTTAAGCCCAATATCTACTACAGCTTTACGAGCGGGGGAAGTGACGGTAAGTAGTGCATTCAAATGACTACTCTTGTGTGTTCAGAGTAAGAAAACTGTGCAGACCTGTGAAGAATGTACAGGCTTTCCATTGCAAGAGTGCACCACATAAATATTTATAGAGTCTTTGGCAATATGCTAATCCAAGGCAAGTAATTTTCCCTCTCTTAAAGAGAATCATGAAAAACAATTAAGGTGATTTAATTACTGCCACACATAGACAGCAGATTTTGACAGATGAACATTCATCACAGTGCCATGTTATCCTAACCCCATAACACAAGACTCTGAACAGAATAGACAATTAAACATAGATCATTTCCCCTACCTTCCCGCAGTACTTTGGGCCGGATCCAAATCCCAGGGAAGCCAATGGGAGCAGAAGCCAGGCTTTTCAAGTTCTGACTGAAAGGCCTGGCTTTAAATAAAACAGAAGTAGTTTGCATGCAAGTTTGCAGTTCTTCATGACACGAAGGTAAATTTAG